GGGGAGTGGGAGAGGGAGAAGCAGGCTTCCCGCGGAGCAGGGAGCCCGATGCAGGGCTCGATCCCAGGACCCTGGGACCATGACCCGAGCTGAAGGCAGACGCCCAACGCCTGAGCCACCCAGGCGCCCCAAGATTGGCTTTGCCCTTAGCAAAGAGTCAACATCCAAGCAGTTGAGCTCCCAGAGGAAGGTCACTCTACCTGTTTCAAGGACTTGTCAATGGGCTGTTGGCAGTAAAGAGGTTTAATTTTTTCTTTTGCCTTTGTTTTCCACATCACCATCAGTAGTAAATGAGAATTCTAATTCAATATTTTCACTGAAATTTAGTCATTCTAGAAAATAGTCAGTGGTTTCTCACTGTAAAATATGAAGTAGTCTTACTATGGTTCTCCTGGTGACTGAAATTGAAACCACGTAAAAGCATCAAGTTGAACAAAATCAAAATGGCTGCATTAAAACATCCCTGAGGCATGATATTAAACTAAGTAGCCTTTTTTTCTCTTTTGAGAAACCTCCCCTCCTCCCTTCTTAGACCCCCCCCTTTTTTTTCTTTTAAGGAATCTGGTACCACACTGAAAACGTGATAAACAAGGCTGGTAGCACAAACACAATTCCTGTTGAAACCAGCTAGATCCTGTTGAAGTGGGAGTGTGAGGTTCTTGTCTCAGGGAGTCAAAGAATAAATCTCGAGGACAAAGGAGAGTGAATAATGTGATAAGAGCTTTATTAAGCAAAGATACAGAAAAAGCTCTCAAGAGTAAGAGGGGTCCCGACAGGGTTGCCAACGCGGGCCTCCACTGACAGTCTCTTATTTAGAACTGACCAGGGAGCTTGTGGCCTTAACATTCCTGTTAAGTCTCGGTTTGAGTAAGGGCTGGTGATAACATCTTTAATGGCTCACTTCTTCTTTGGGGCCTGGTTATTCTTGGTCACAATGTGACTGCCATAAAAAGACCCCACCCCTGATGCCCAAGGGCAGGATGGTCTGGTTTGTTTCCTCATCCCTGGTTTCCTTGTGCCTACACATTTCGGGGATTCCTGTGAGCCTGATCATGTAGCCCCCTACCTATCTATCCCTACCCAGCCCCACATGTCCCTTACTCAGTGAGACCCTTCAGATGTACATCAGTGGGACAGATACTTGGAGGATGGTTGCCAATGTGGATCTTAGGGGGAGGGGGAGCTAGAGATAAAGAAGTTTCCAAAGGAATTTTTATATGTTAAAGTAGACTTACAGGATCCTGGGGGGGTCAGGCTAAGATTACCTTTTGCCCTTAGTAAAGTGTTAACATCCAGGCAGTTGAATGCCTGGAGGAATGTAACTGCCCACCTCAAAGACTTGCCAATGTCCTGCAAGTAGTAAGGAAATTTAATAATTTTTCTTTTGTCTTTGTTTCTCACATCACTGTATTTCCCTACAAAACCCCCTGACCCTAATAAAAAAAATTAAAAAAAAAAAACAAAACAGGGCGCCTGGGTGGCTCAGTTGGTTAAGCGACTGCCTTTGGCTCAGGTCATGATCCCGGAGTCCTGGGATCGAGTCCCATATCGGGCTCCCTGCTCAGCGGGGAGTCTGCTTCTCCCTCTGACCCTCTCCCCTCTCATGCTGTTTCTCTCTCTCTCTCTCTCTCTCTCTCAAATAAATAAATAAAATCTTTAAAAAAACCAAAAACCAAAAACCAAAAAACAAAACCCTGACCCTTCCTCTGAGTGGGCTTGCAGTTTTGAAGGCCCTAAACTGCTGCACCCTCTCGCAAAGCAAGAAAGGTACTGTTCCTCTTTATCCCAAACTCTGCCTTTGCATTCTGTTTTGGCTTTGAAGCACGGAGGTCATTTTTTGCCAACAGAATGAAAGCGTAGGAGAGGAAAACATTTTTCTTCATCTGTTTTCAATTCTTTGTCTTTTTGTTTTTTTAAGATTTTATTTATTTATTTATTTCAGAGAGTGAGTGAGTGAGAGAGAGAACACAAGCAGGGGAGTGGCAGAGGGAGAGGGAGAAGCAGACTCCCCACAGAGCAGGGAGCCCAACATGGGGCTCGATCCCAGGACCCTGAGATCATGACCTGAGCCGAAGGCTGATGCTTAATCGACTGAGCCACCCAGGTGCCCCACAATTCTTTGTCCTTCTAATAATTAAGCAGACACAAGACAGGTTCACAAGAGGAAAAAAAATTCTTAATATGGGAACCTCAAAGATACTGAGTAAGGGACAGGTGCGGCTAGATAGGAAGAGATACGCAGGGGGCCACATGACCAGGCTCACAGAAATCCTAGATGTGGAGAAATACTGAGGTGTAAAGAAACCAGAGATAAGGGAACATGACCAGACCATCTTGTTTGTCTTAAACGTCAGAGATGATATATTCAAAAGAGAAGTAATCACGGTGCTATCAGTGGTAGAGACTCTAAAAAGATTTAAGTTCCCTGGTCAGTTTTCAATAAAATCTTAAAAAAGAAAAAATAAATAAAGCCTTTAGTGGTAACCCATTATTCAGGACCCCTCTCACTCTAGAGAGCTTTCTCTTTCTGTTCTCACCTTCACTTAAACTTTCACTTCACCCTTTTGTGTCCATGAGATTCATTCCTTGACTCCCTGAGAAAAGAACCCTGCAACAATGAGACGCGGGGAACTGGGGTGGCTCCGTCATTAAGCGTCTGCTTTCGGCTCAGGTCATGATCTCGGGGTCCTGGGATCGAGCCCCACATCGGGCTCCCTGCTCCGCGGGAGGCCAGCTTCTCCCTCTCCCACTCCCCCTGCTTGTGTTCCCTCTCTCAGTGTCTCTGTCTGTCAAATAGATAAATGAAATCTTAAAAAATAAATAAATAAATAAATAAATAAATAAATAAATAAATAAAAAACAAAAAACAATGTGAGACTCAAAGACAGGTGATTGAAAGGCGATTGATGCTTACATGCCCTTTTGACTCAAGGAGCAGGCGCTAGGGATTTAGAATTTCAGAAAGGAGGAAGTATATTCACAGGAAAAAGGAAAGAGCAAATGTTTGTCAAACAAATGCTTGCCACACCAGGCAGGCAGCTCTTTATACAAGGTTCATCCCTGGGGGCCGCCTGGGTGGCTCAGTCGTTTAGGCATCTGCCTACAGCTGGGGTAATGATCTCAGGGTCTTGGAATTGAGCCCCACATCGAGCCCCACATCAGGCTCTCTGCTCAGCAGGGAGTCAACTTCTCCCTCTACCCCTAACCCCATTCATGCTCTCTCTCTCTCTCAAATAAATAAAGTCTAAAAAAAAAAAAAAGTTCATCTCTGGTATTAGCTCTTTTCCTGGCAGAGGTACCTTATCTAATTTATTCTTGGTACATATATCAGCCTCCAAAAAGAAGGAAATCCTTCCTTTTACAGCAACAGACTAATCCCAGAGGACATTTTGTTAAGTTAAGCCACACACAGAAAAATAGATACTGTATGAAATCACATATATGCAGAATCTTAAAAAAGGCAAAATTATAAACGATGAGCATGTCTGTTCCCAGGGGCTGAGGATGGGGGGAATGTTCAGATGTTGGTCAAATGGTAAAACAGTTCATGATGCAGGATGCATGAGCACTGAATGTTTAATGTACAGCATGGTGACTTAGTTAATAGGAGTGTATTGTACACTTCAAATTTGCTAGAAGAGGCTATCTTAAGTGTTCTCACCACACACACGCACACAGATCTTAACTATGGCAGGGGAAGGCTGTGTTTATTCCATTGACTGCGGTAATTATTATTATTTTTTAAAGATTTTATTTGTTTATTTGAGAGAGAGAGAATGAGAGATAGAGAGCACGAGACGGAAGAGGGTCAGAGGGAGAGGCAGACTCCCTGCTGAGCAGGGAGCCCGATGTGGGACTCGATTCGATCCCGGGACTCCAGGATCATGACCTGAGCCGAAGGCAGTCGCTTAACCAACTGAGCCACCCAGGCGTCCCTGCGGTAATTATTTTGTAACCAGGACCCAAGGGTGCAAGCACACCTGGCCCCAGTGGTCCCAGACCTAGATCGGCCACTCACGGCTGACAAAATCCAAAGGCAAGAAAGATGACTTTGGCCGCCTCAGTTTTGACCTCAGACTTTCTCGCTGGGTTCCTTCCAGCTTGTCTCTTGGCTCAGCAGAAAGACCCAGAGGGCAAAGCATCTCCTGAAGGGAACAGAAGCTACCCCGTCAAGCAACCGGAACTGCCCTGAGTCAGAAAGACCCCACCCCTGATGGGCTCCCAGACAAGGACAGATTTAACCTTGGCTGCCTGCCTGCAGGTACCCCCTCACTTTTGCCCCCCCATTTTTCTTATATAAACCTGGAAGTATTTCCAGCACTTTGGAGACAGTCCTTGAGACATTACTCAGCTGTCTTCCCGGTGTGGGCCTCCCTGAAAGATCTTCCTCTCGTGTACCCGCCCCCCCCAATGTGTCTTTCTGCCTTGGATTTTGTCAGCAGTGAGTGGCCAAACCTGGTCCGTTTGGGACCCCAGGAGCCATGTGCTCTTGCACCCCTCCCTGCACCCTGGCCAACAGCAAACAGATGAGTGGTAGTGATGAGGGAGCAGAAGGCTGGCTGAAGACAAAGCATCAGCGGACACCCTGCAACCTCCCCCCACCTCTCACTCCTGGGTGGGACCTGTGTGACATTCTTCCAGGAATCTCCCAACTATCTTAATGTTAATGCCTTGCTAGAAGGAGGGGGAAAAAGACCTTAACTTGACAATGGCAAGGCCTCGGTATCTTGTAGGTCCTCCTTAGCATATGAAATTTCTTTTGAAACCTCCCTTTTTCCTTACCGCCCCCAACCCCATAGTATATAATCAGCCACCCCTCACAAACCTGGGGCAGCAGCTCTTTTTGCCCGCGGGTCGTGTCCCTGTGCTTTAATAACCGCCATTTTACACCAAAGATGTCTCAAGAATTCTTTCTTAGTCATTGGCTCCAGACTCCATGCCACTGAACCTCACCTATATTCCAAAACCCAATCAGTAGCAAAACAAGAAAGGAATTTACTTCAGGAAAGCCACCACAGAGAAGGCGGTGGAGCAACATCTCCAAGATGGTCTCCAAACTGCTGAATGTGCTTCCAGATCTGGATAAAGAAAATATAGGACAAAGGGTGGTGATACATACAGGTGGGTGGTAGAGGTCAGGCCGGTCACTGTATTGGTGTTAGGCATATGGGATCTTGCTGGCTCAGGGCAGGCCCTATTGTTTGACGGTGTAGTTTCCTTTCCCTTCCTGGAATGCTTTGCCTACGGGCCTTCCGCCTGAGCTAAAAGATAAGCTAGCAAGAAGAACGGAATCAATTACAAAGTAGAGACTTAAGGTCGAAATGGAGACCGTTGAAAAGTACTACCTGGTCCTCTTTCCATTTCACAATATATATGTATATTTACTCTTTAAAACCTGAGTGACTACTAGATGTTCAGAAATGGAAAACGGGGTGCTGAACGGGTTGGCTCTTGAAGCTGTCATGGAACAAGAATGCCCTGTTCCCTTTTCTGGGGAGTAAGAATTCCTGTCCCTTACAAGGTTGTTCTAGCTGTGCTAAGAATTAAATTGACATGAGACAGATTAACAAGAGAGAATAAAATTTAATAGCACACATATGGGGAATCCACAAACACATGCAAATTCCAAAGTCAGGCAGGCAAAATTAGGTATATATGTCATCCCGAACCAAGAAGAAGAGAGTAGGAGTGTGGGATTTCAAGATAAAGAAATGCAATTGACAAGGTAGTAAGGAGAAGAGCAGGTGTTCGGTGAAGAGGTTCCAGACCGCTGCCCCCACTCCCCACCAGAATGTGCCACTTTGGTGTAAGGATTATTTTGAGCTGAAAGCAGAAATGTTTGTCCCTCACTTAACCACACAGAAGAATCTAAATTGAAGGTCTTTTCCAGAATAAAGGTTATTAACAAATTAATTTTCTTTGAGTGACTCATCTCTATTGTAGGGCAAATGTCTACCAAACATCTGCTTTTCCTCTTGCCCTGCGAATTACAGTCCTTTCCTCTGAAATCGCAGATCCCTACCTCCTTCTCCTCAGGTCAGAATCACATATATACCTCATTTTGCCTGTCTTTAAAATTTCCTCGTCTATGTAGATTCCTTGTACAAATGCCATTAACTTTGATTTTCTCTTGTTAATCTGTCTCATGTCAATTTGATTCTTAGTCCAGCTAGAAGGACCCTGAAGAGGGCATGAGTTCTTGCTCCCCGACATTGGTAATTAGATGTTTGCTCTGCCACACAGAGGGATCACTCAAGTAAAATTTATCTCCTGTAATAACCCTTGTTTTGGAAAGGGCCCCCAATTTAGATTCCTCTCTGTAGTTAAGGGAGGAGCAAAAGTTCCTCTTGGGCCCACAGGGTCTTGATTGCCTTCAGGTCGAAATAATCCACATGCCAAAGTGGCACGTTCTGGTGGGGCCTGTCCCGACCCCTTTCCAGGCACAGAATTTAATGAGAAAGAAAGTAAGGCACCCAACAATCTTTGTGAGGTAGTTTTGGAATGTTGGTGAGATCGAGAGCCAATGGCCAAGAAGGATGTCTTTGGTGCAAAAAAAGGTTATTTTATTAAAGCACAGGGGCAGGACCAATGGGAAGAAAGCCACTGCCCCGGGGTTGTGAGGAACGGCTGATTATACACTATGGAGTTAGGGGGAGGTAAGGAAAAAGGAAGGTGTCCGAAAGGATTTTCATATGCTAAAGAAGACCCTCAGGATACTGGAGACCTTGCTACTGTCAGGCTAAGGTTGTTTTTCCCTCTAGCAAAGCATTAACATTAAGACTGTTGGGAGTTTCCTGGAGGAATGTCACACACATCCCACCCAGGAGTATGGTGGCAGAGAGGTTGTGGGGTTCAGCTTCTGCTCTTGTCCTTACCTTGCCTTCTGCTCCCTTATTATTTGCTCCCATATATCTGATTTGGGGTGTCAGCCAGACATTAGCACCTACCATTGAGATGTGGGAGGAGCAGTGAACGAAACCTCTGACCTGCTCTAATCTGTTCAATGAGGGGAGAACCCAGGGTGGGGCCAGACCTAGAAAAGCTTCAGAAGAGAGGGTTCTGGGTGGAGCTGGAGAGGCAGAGGGCTCTAGGCTTCTTTCTTTTTTTCTTTCTTTTTTTTCTAGGCTTCTGATCTCCTTGCTAATTGGATATTCCCAGTTCTCTTCATCCTAAATTTGCCTAGCAGAAACTTTTTGTATGATTATATTCTACTTAAGCCAATTCCCTGTTTATTTTGTAACATAAATAATAAGCAATTTAACATAAACACATAGAGATTTCTGGGACAATACTATTAGAAACTAAAGTTGACCCTTGAAAGACATGGGTTTGAAGTGCATGGGTCTACTTGCACAGAGACTTTTTTTTTTTTTTGGATAAATACAGTAGAGCACTGTAAATGTATTTTCCTTATGATTTTTTTCTTTTTTTTCTTTTAAGATTTTATTTATTTGACAGACACAGCGAGAGAGGGAACACAAGCAGGGGGAGTGGGAGAGGGGGGGAGAAGCAGGCTTCCCGCGGAGCAGGGCACCCAAAGCGGGGCTCGATCCCAGGACTCTGAGATCATGACCCTGACCCGAAGGCATGTGGTTTACCGACTGAGCCACCCAAGTGCCGTTTGAGCGCAGTTTTTAATGAGAGGATGTGGAAGGGAAGCAAGGACAGTGTTTGACTGGATATACCTTAAGAAGTTACCTTATTTTTGGAAGGCCTATTTGACGGTAATTGTTTGCTCCTAAGTTTTCTTCCATTCCAGGGTAATGACTGTGAATTAAGATGTGGTTTCCTTACAAACACTACTAAGGCATTGGAGACACTTCCCTCTATGGCTTCCCTGTTTTTTTGTTTTTTGTTTTTTTTTAATAAAGATTTTATTTGACAGAGAGACACAGTGAGAGCGGGAACACAAGCAGGGGCAGTGGGAGAGGGAGAAGCAGACTCCCCGCCGAGCAGGGAGCCCGATGTGGGACTCGATCCCAGGGCTCTGGGATCATGACCTGAGCTGGGGGCAGACGCTTAACGACTGAGTCACCCAGGCACCCTACGGCTTCCCTGTTTAATTTAACAGTGGAAGCATAGTTGTTAGGACACTACAGGGTTGTTTTGTTTTTCATAGGTAATGTAGAAACTGTCCATTCAGTGTAAGAATGCAAGTCATGATGGTGCAACAATATTCTGTCCCAGAGCCACCCAGTTAAGACGGATGTGTACAGATCAAAGATCCACACAGCATGTGCATAATAGCGGATCTATACATTCAACTATAATTGTATAAACAGGAGAATGTTTCAACAAGGATGTTGTATTGACACTTACTATGGGATATGTGTTTTCATGTTGCAGTAGATTCATTTCTACTGGTGTGAAAATGCCAGCTGCGTGCAGCATTAAGGGACGCAATTTGACAGTAGTCTGATATGACAATATTGATGTAAACACTGAACCATGTACAAAATATTTCAGTGTCTGTTAGTCTGAAATTGCATAAGAGGGAGGTTCCACTTCAACCTCACAATTGGTTATACCTGAAGATCAAGCTATTATTGATTGGGGGTGATAATGGAAATTTTTACTTTATTAGGTTTTTTTTTTTTAAGATTTTATTTATTTATTTGAGAGAGAGAGAATGAGATAGAGAGCACGAGAGGGAAGAGGGTCAGAGGGAGAAGCAGACTCCCTGCCGAGCAGGGAGCCCGACGCGGGACTCGATCCCGGGACTCCAGGATCATGACCTGAGCCGAAGGCAGTTGCTTAACCAACTGAGCCACCCAGGCACCCTTACTTTATTAGGTTTTTCTAAGTTTATAATTTTTTTTAAGATTTTATTTATTTATTTGAGAGAGAGAATGAGAGAGAGAGAGAGCACATGACGGGGGGGGAGGGTCAAAGGGAGAAGCAGACTCCCCGCTGAGCAGGGAGCCCGATGTGGGACTCGATCCCAGAACTCCAGAATCATGACCCCAAGTTTATAATTTTCTTTTAAGATTTTATTTGTCAGAGAGAGGGAGAAAGAGAGAGCACACAAACAGGGGGAGCATCAGGCAGGGGGAGAAGCAGTCTCCCCACTCAACAAGGAGCTTGATGTGGGACTGGATCCCAGAACCCTGGGATCATGACCTGAGTTAAAGGCAGACGCTTAACGGAATGAGCCACCCAGGCATCCCAAGTTCGTAATTTTAGTTTTACAATTAATGATATGCCTGTGTGTATTTGTTTTCTATCAGTTCCATAACCAATTTCAAGTATTTAGGAGCTCCTAAAAATATAATTCTGCTGTTATTAAGTCTGAATTTCAGTGAAGTTAAAATCAAGGTTTCATGAGGCATTGCATCTTCTCAGGAACCTAGATCAGCAGTCACTGCCAGGAGCATTCAGGTGGTTGGGAGAATCCAATTTCTTCTCATGGTTTTCACATGATCTCCTTCAAGGTCGTACCCTGTGCATGGTATCCCCATGTAGAGAGAAAATGTTGACTCTCACTGTTGACTCAAAACTTTACCTATGGGGGCGCCTGGGTGGCTCAGTCGTGAAGTGTCTGCCTTCGGCTCAGGCTGGGATCGAGCCCCGCATCGGGCTTCCTGCTCGGCGGGGAGCCTACTTCTCCCTCTCCCACTCCCCCTGCTTGTGTTCCCTCTCTGGCCGTGTCTGTGTCAAATAAATAAATAAAATCTTAAAAAAAAAAAAACTTTACCTATGGTCCTTTACTACCTATTCAACTGAAAGGAGTACTAGGTATTATATATAAGTAAGGTTATTGGCATGGGCTGGAATTACAAACTGTTGAGATTTGAATCAAGTGCAAATCAGAGAATTAATGTGTAGAATTAGTGACCTCCAAATGCACCCCTGCAATTTCCATCACCCCCAACTCCAACTGTCCTGTCCCTCCTTTCTACCCCGCATGTGACCTCAGTCTCTCCACCTGGGACCTTTAGATTTCCATGAAACCCAACTCTCTCCCTGAAAATGACCCTCCTGGTCTTTGTTGCTCTTCTAAGTCCACCAGTAGCATTTTAGACGTCTCTACCAATAAACCCATTTTTTGCCTGATTCTAGAGCCCTCAGTCCAAACTTC